GAGTGTCTCTACAGTTACTCTACAGATCTGAGGATGAGGATGGTGTGTTAATGTGAAGATACAGAGGAGCTGTACCGAGTGTCTCTACAGTTCTGAGGATGAGGATGATAAGCTCACAGTTGCTCTCGAGGAAAGCAGGATCAGATGACAGGAGAAAAGGAGAAAGAGGGATACAGAGAGGGGAGAGAGGCAGAGGGGGAGAGAGAGACGCAGATAGCATCAGCAGGAAGGAGCGGGACAGCGCGTTGCGATCTCCGGCCGACAGTGAGGTCTGAGAAGAAACTCACTTGCGTGGTAGCGCGGTAAACAACACCAGCCCGCCCGCTCACTGGGCTCTGCGCGGCTCCGTGCGGCCCCAGCGTCCGGCAGCGATGAGCTCCCCGCCTGCCCCGCCAGCGGACTCGGACCTGCGGACCGGTCAGCGCTGCGAGCCCGTCCGCCGCCCTCTCAGCGCAGGAACAGCAGCCGCCAGTTCCGGCCGGCCGGCGGTGTGTCCGCATCGACGCGCAACACCCCGCCTCCTGTTTTGCATTCGCGGCGCAAACGTTTCCTCCCGAGGGCGGGCGGCCGCGGGCGTGAGCCCCAGCCCTCCTGGCGTGGAGCTGCAGCGCCCCCTGGCGGAGGCGAAGAGGCGCTACCGGTGCGAGCTCCGCGCAGACAGGGCCGGGACACGGGGGATGATCCACGGGCGGGGGAGCAGTGGGGTTTCAGCGTCCTCCCCGGCGGTCGCTCTGCAGGCCGAGTGTAATCAGATGCGCGGAACCGGCTCCGCAGCGTCTCCATGAGCCCGGGCGCCTGGCCGCCGGACCCTTCATCGCCGCAGCAGAGCCGAGGGAGGGCCGGGGGTCACGGGGTCACGGCCAAAACAGAGCTTGAACCAGCGCGCTGGAGACTCGGCGGTCGGGGATCTATCAATGTGATTGGCAAGCTTTCTCACTGCCTCGACCGGCAGGGCTCTCGAACCCTGGGCCTCCACCACAGACCACAGAAACAGAACCCATTTGGCTTTAAAGATTTATTAAAAGCTAAAACAGCGTCAGTTGAACAAGAGCAGACAACGCAGAGATGTGAAAGGAATGTGCCGCGGGGTCAGGGGTCAGGGGTCGGGGGTCAGTCCAGACCCGATTAACTGCAAACAGAACTGAGCACCCAGAGATGAACGTGATACAACCATCACAGTGGAACCAGTAATAAATTCTCCCCACAGCCCTGGGGACTGGGAATGTAATTAGTCATTCAGGTGGTGATTACCAACAACACAGGGTGGCCTCACACCAGCTGTAGTCCCTGGGATGACATCACTTCCCCTCTGGCCGAGGTGATGACATCACTTCCCCTCCGGCCGCTCAGTCAGAGTAGCCAACATGCCCAGGTACAGCGAGGGTTAATTCGCCAGGAATGCACACAGAAGCTGCTCACTGCAGACTCACACCCCCCAGGACAGACAACCCAGACACCTGCTGTTTCCTCTAGAACAGTTTTCCATTCTAAACACACTTGATCTAACATGACTATATCTCCCTCTCCTACTGGACTGGAGCCCCAGTGTAACAGGACTGTCCTACTGGACTGGAGCCCCAGTGTAACAGACTGTCCTACTGGACTGGAGCCCCCAGTGTAACAG